GCGTTCGACGCTCAGATCGTCCAAATCGTTCAAATCGCGCTGCTCTAATCGCGCTTGAGGCGCCGCAGAACTTCCCGACGTTGCTTGAGGCGCGTCCACCATAGACTTTGCATGTAAACCTGCTGCTCCTGACGCTGAAATCGCGTTCGGTGTGAACGCACCATTAGGCTCCTCAGGAGTGGAGGAGCCAGACGACTGCTGCCAACTAGTGGTTGGAGGTTAAATTACAACATAAAAATGAACCGCTGGTATAAAATTTTACATTTTAAACTTTAATTAAAATCGATACAGTATTAGGAAATGAAATATCATGATATTTCAGTGTATAAGTATTTTCTTACACCTCTAGTTTAAATATAAAGTTCTTCACTCTCTGGGCCAAAAAAAGCAGAATTTCTAAGTAAGCTGAAGGTGACGTATTGTCGTAACATGAAATCATTACTTTATGATTATTTGACAATATTTGGACTGCTTTGGTTAATATCTAATATCTTCTGCACTGTAGCGTAGCRTTAGCTTTGGCTATATGTTGTCCACCATGAATACATTTAACTGTCTTTTCTGAGACTTTCCGTATGTTCAGATGAATAATACTGACGGAGGTCCCTTTGGGAGGTGGACCCGTCTACAGATGGAGCTGCTGGTAATTCAGGAAGACAGGCTGTGTCGAACAAAACRCCCCGATTCCCATCTCTGACGTAAACATAAGTGCAGTGCAGTTTGGATCAGGACATTTTGGGGAATTCTCTTTGTTTTGCTGTTGAACAGAAAAGATCAATATCGATTTAATCTGTGTCTCTTCAGCGAAGGGATGGAATTGCTTTGGGACGTGTTTGGCCTTGCATAGCAGCGTGAGGATAAGGAAGGCAGGGGTCGACARCTCCAATCAAAACTACAGCACAACCTTTCTGCAACTTCCAAAATGTCATATTTACAGTGTGCAGCTGAAAACAAACAAAAGACAGGAGGAATTTAAAGCGTGACTTCATGCATCTTCTTATAGAGGGAATCAGTTCACACATGAAGAAAGCTCAGCCTCCGTCATTTATTTAAACCTTTGTTTTCTTCTATTATTATGCTTATAAGAAATGTCAACTGATGTTTAATGCTAACATTTTAAAAGCAATTAAATTATCCAGCTGTTAAATTAAGGCTTCCCTGAACTTTTCTACATCAGATTTAATAAGACCTCATAAAAATTTGCACTTTTTTTTCTTGTAGTTCATAAAAAAACAAAAACAAATCAGCCCTCATTCAGTTCTGTGATTCATGGATCAGAACATAAATTAAAAACCAGTAGCAGCTCCTGAGCATAAATATTAGTATTAATTTTATTAATATTATTAATTTCCTGAATCAATTTCTACACAAATGCTAGAAATGAATGCACATTTTCTGTAAAAAAGATAAACATTATTTAATCAGTTTTTGTGCACAAAGTTTTCATCTTTTTTCCTTCCTCTCTGCAGATTGTGTCTCATGAAAACTAATATTAAATCAGATAAATACATCCTGCCCCAATTTAGCATTACCAGTTAGCCTAACGTTATCACTGCGCTGTGATAATATGAAGTTAAAAAAAATGAGAATCACTAAAACTTGTTTCAAATTACATTTATAATTGTCAAAATTGTTGACAAACCGACCAAAACAATGCGTGGGAAGCTTAGTAAAAACCAATTTACATTGGAACAGCCTCGCTTTTGAATAACCCGCATTAATCGAACTTTAGTTATTTTGTCTGGAAAGTCTGGTTTGTTTGGGGAGGTGTGAATGCACTCCATGTTTGTTTACATTTTGTGATGAAGAAAGTTGCGCTCAGTTTCTTCTTCAGAGGTTTTTGTGTTGATTCCTTCACTGGTTCTTGATGCAGCGCCCCAACAGGCGAGATGGGGGGACAGGTTGTTCACAGGATTTAGTCCGCATGACAAAGTGCAGTGTGAATGTGAACCACACCAACTGAAAATCTAAACAAATCTTGCAATTTTATACCCAACTGAACGGAGTCTATCAGACTATCAGGTGTGAATACGGTTTAATCTTAAGTGTACAAGAATCTGAGCTGAGCAGAAACCAATGTCTGCAAACTTTAATAAAAATGAAGCGACTTTCGAATATGGGCCAAAACTCCTCTGCAACCATGTGAGACTGATGAAGTCCAAAAGGAGGAGGTTCTACAATCTGCTGGTTTTCCATTTCAACATTTCACCTTTTTGGTTAAAACAGAACAAAACACTGGGATCTGCTGTGTGTTTTACTTGCACGTACATTTGAATAATTATAGTACCTACCATTATTAAGCTCTGTTACATAAAAATCTAGAATTGAACGATTGTAGACTTTTTTTGTGACTCTGTTGATTCATTGGCTGTGTCCAAAACGACAGGCCGGGTCCTCCGGAGGACCCAGACTCCCCAGTCTCGGCGGGCCGGGTCCTTGGTAGACCAGGAAGACCGGAAAAAAAGAGGCTGTGGATTTGGACGGTCTAGCCTCCCCTCCTTACCCCGGCGTACGTCTTGTCACCTAGCAACTGTGACGACGCTAAACAAGCAAACTTAAATCAAAACTAGAAAAATATCAATACATTAGCATTATTAATATCACAAAACTATAAAATTAACTTAAAAGTATCATTTGAAGAACTAATTGACCCGCTGTAGGTTCATGTTTATTTCGCGTTTTTTATGACGAAAAAATAATATTTAAAAACATGTCCATACAAATGATAAAAGTATTAGAATTACAACTGCTAATTTTTTTAATTTTAATATCACCATATTTTTATTTAAAATGTATTCTTTTCTCTCGCTTCGTCCGCCATTACTAGCATTAAAAAATCTCCCATCGGGCCACAATGCATTATGGGATATGCTGGGCCGGGAAGGATCCATCAGACCTGTCCTTCGATTCGGGCCAAAGGAAGGACGTATTTGTCGGCCGCATCGGAGGAGTCTTCSGTTTTGGACGTCCTTCGTCGCGGCGCTGTGACGTATGCGGCCGACAAATTCGACCTTCGGAGGACTCAGCCTGCCGTTTTGGACTCAGCCTTTATTTATATGTGCCCGCCCCTAAAAACCTCCCTGTCCACCCCTTGCAAAACAGTCTAGCTCCGCCCCTGGTTCATCTCACTGACTCAGAGAAACAAGTTTTCATGAATGCTCCAACATCTCTTTACTTCACCACTGAATCTAATTCACAAAGACAAGCATCCTTTTTAAAAGCTGCAACATCCCATAATGAGATTAAAGAATTCATGATGAAAAATGATGCTCCTCACTTGCCCAACCCGATACTAATTATTCTCATCTTCTGCAGCGATTATACCTGCTGCTCTGAGCAGACGCTGCTCGTCCACAACACGGTTCTGTGTCATGAATAAAAACTGCAGATTTACTGAGAAGTGGCGTTTCATGTAGTACTTCTGTGTGATAATGACAGTATTGTGTACTCCAAGAGTCACGACTGGTCTTTTCTTTTTTTAGGAATTTCAGACGTCGTCGTGTTCAAGAAGAAAATGTGCTTCTTGTTTTTTCACAAAGCCCCGTGGAGTTATTTATTTTTTAAATTGAAACGTGATTGCAGCCTGGAGGGTGTTGATCAGAAGAGTGCAATGATTTAATTGATGTTCTGTAATCAGGACATGTGACCACTCCTACTGCGGCGAGAGAGCGGGGGGAAAATTATTATCAGCTCTTCATTAGCCTCGAGTGCGCCACGGGTCTCCGAAATTGTCCTTACACCATATGTTTGGCTGTTCTGCTCCCCTTCTGTGTGCTGTCATCAGCACAAGCGTATAGGTCACCCCCCTTTCTAAACCGCCACACGAAGATCTACGACTTGTACGTTTTTAACAGGCTATTTCCTCTGATGTCCTTCACAAAAACAGATCAGCGTTTCTCCTGGGAAATGTGGTAGCCGTCACCTGAAGGACATTCTTGTTTTCTTGAAAGTGCCATCTTGATACTTTGCATAATTTTGACTCTTGTGAGTAGAGAGTTGCCTGTGGGAAGAAGGGATTACAGCAGGTGGTAAGAATAAGTTGCCTTTTTTTCTCCTCGCAGCTCCAGTGAAAGAGGAAGAATCAGGACAAGCTGGTGCTTAAAGAAAACGAGATGAATCAGTGGTTTCATGGGGAGGAAGACACATACTGCGTCCTGTCTTCTGTCAGTACCGCTTCTTATTCACACTCTGTCTCCATCTCTATTTCTTTTATTTTTTTAGGCAGATGCTTTGCATTCAGAGGTGAGCGAGGAAACGATGAGCCGCCCATCGATATGATTAAAGTATCTCATCTCAAGTAAGTTGCTACAACCCCCTACCTGTGGCAGTAATACAAACCCAAATACACTGGTTTTACTCATGCAGTACACTTAGTACACCGTGTACTCCAACTCCTCTATAGAAGCTCTTCAACAAACTTATCAGAAGCACCTGAAGTGCCCTGAAGTTCTCTTTGTTTGTGGAAAAAACTCAAGTCTCTCAAGGACTGTATATTCATTAGACATAAGACGAAGCATCATCTTGTAACGCAGCATCTTGAGATGTTTTGCTCATTGTTCTGACACAATTTGTTGTCAATGGCAACAGGTGTTCAAACTCATAAAACACACATATCCACATTGTTCACAATTTAATGACAGCTTTACATAACGCAGTGCGATATCAGGTATCTGCCGTAGCACGTACCTGGTACTAGTGTTGTAGTCAAGACCATGACCAGAGTGTAACAAGACCCAGACAAAACCAAGACTTTTAGGGGCTGGACAAAGTCGAGGCCAAGACCAAGAGAGGGCGAGACTGAATCGAATCAAGAAAAAAGAGGGTGATACCAAGTCCAGACCAAGACCAAGAGAGGGCGAGACCAAATCAAAACCAAGACTTTTAGGGGCTGGACCAAGTCGAGACCAAGACCAAGAGAGGGCGAGACTGAATCAAGACAAAAGAGGGTGATACCAAGTCCAGACTAAGAACAAGAGAGGGTAAGACCGAGTCGAGACCAAGAACAAGAGAGGGCGAGGCTGAATCAAATCAAGAAAAAAGAGGGTGATACCAAGTCCAGACCAAGACCAAGAGAGGGTAAAACCGAGTCAAGACCAAGGACAAGAGTGGGCGAGACCAAGTTAGGCCCAAGACTTTTAGGGGATAGAGTCTAGACCAAGACCAAGAGAGGGCAAGACCAAATCAAAACCAAGACTTTTAGGGGATAGACAGAGTCGAGACCAAGACCAAGAGAGGGCGAGACCGAGTCCAGAAAAAATGCATAATAACTTTCAGTTAAGAGAACAATAAATCAAATAAAAAGAAGATTATTCTGTTTTATTATCTGATTAAGAAAAAGAGAATGTCTCTTTGACAAGTTAAGGCGACCTGAGGTGGCCTAAATTCAGTCTGAAATGGAACAGAAGTCTGTCTCTTTAAAGGCTCATCAGAGGTCTGAGGTCCAAGACAGTTTCCTTGATTATTTCACTCGAGGTGACCCCTACAGTTTGATATTAACACAACTCTGTCACTGTACAGTACTTTTGTAATACAAAGTGTGTTTTCTAAAACCTTCCCTGTTTGTGTGGTTTATTTTCCTCAGGCAGTACCTGGTGGTGGTGTTCAGAGACAAACCCTTGGAGCTGTGGGACATCCGGACGGGGACACTTCTCCGAGAGATGGCCAAGAGTTTTCCAACTGTTACAGCTCTGGTACCAACAAATGTGCACGCTGATAAAATCTGAGTCTGATATATTGGAGGCACAAAAACTCTGCTAGTCTGCTAAGATTTATTAGAAAATAAGTTTATTTCAGGTATTGCAGAGGTTCGACTGCATGTCAGACCCTTTACAGCTCTTTCATATCACTCATGTCTGTCTGAGAACTCTGAACATATAGGAGTAGTTCTGCTCCTGGAAGACTGGTGATTGATGAGCTGTGTACGTTGACATTTTGCTGCAGGTTCCCCCCCTCAGGGTATAGCATGTCACACCGATGATCTCACACAGCACCTGACAAATCTCAGTTTCTGATAGCTGTGGAGAAGAACACGATGACACGTATTCACCCTCAACGTGTTCGCTCTGGTCTGGCTTAAAGTCAGGGTGCAGCTTCAGTTCTGCAGCCTGTGACATTGTTTTTTATTGCYGTCCCCCTCGATTTGATTCTGCTGTTTGGAGAATGCTRTTTAGGATCTTCCAACTTTCTGCTTTCCATCACATTGATCTGGTTTCTCTTCAGCTCCTTCCAGTTTTCACTTTTGACACATGCTGTGTTTTCAGTAAAACAACTTGAAGTAAAGTCAGCATTTATCCACTGGATGGTAAAAGATACTTTTACGTTTTGACACTTCTACTTTCTAGCTGTTCTTTTGATCTTTTTAGTACTACAGTAAACCCCCCATTTTTGTGGGGGTTGCATTCTTCAAGTACCCGCAAATTGTGAAAAAGCGCAAATATTGGACACGGCCCAAAAAAACAAATATTTTTCCTGTACATAAAATATACCACATACTGTAAATTATAT